TAGGATTAGGGGGCTCACAGCCCTGGGGGTTAGGGTTAAGATGTTAGGGTTAGGGGGCTCACAGCCAGGGGTTAGGGTTAGGGGGTTAGGGTTAGGTTTAGTTGGGTTAGTTGTCCTCTGGTCCCATCTTTTGCCCCCGTCAGGTGAAGGCTGGGGTGGAGAACTCCTGGGTGGAGCAGCAGGTGTGGAGGTCTGATCTTTACCTCTCAAGTGGAATTTTGGGATTTGGAGTCCTCTGCCTGCTGGCTGTGACCTCTCTGCCCTCTGTGGGAAACTCTCTGACCTGGAGGGAGTTCACGTTTGTCCAGGTAAAACCACAGCATCATCTGTGTCCGTCCTTATTTACAGAACTACAGATCCCACCAAGAGCAGCACTAGGAGACACAGGAAGGAAACAACTGCCTTTAGGGGGAACAAACCTGGAGGGGGGGGGGCTTCTGCATCCTCCAGGTTTGCCTGTGTGGCTGACAAAGAGCAGTCCACCTGCCAGGGGGCAGGTTTACAGCTTTAAAGACACAAAAACAGCTTTAGAGACACAAAAAAACAGCTTTAAAACCCCCAGAAAAAAGCTTTAAAAGACACAAAAACAGCTTTAAAGACACGAAAAACCGATTTAAAGCCCCCAAAACAGCTCCAGAGCTGATTGTCAGACTGATGCTAGCTGGAACATTGGGTCTAATGTGGGAGTATGTGATAAAAGCCTCTGAATGCAGAAACATGAACCCATTCAGACCTGCAGCCTGACACTAAGCCCCCCCCCACCCACCTCTGCCCCTGTCTGTGTGCAGTCCGGACTGGGCTACGCCGCCCTGACCCTGTCCACCATGCACGCCCTGTTCTTCGGCTGGGACTTCACCTTTCTCCGGAGGGCCTACCCCTACTTCCTGCCCCCCCTCTACCTGCTGGCCCTGGTCCTGCCCTGTGTGGTGGTGGGGGGGCGGCTGCTGCTGGCCCTGCCCTGCCTGGGCCTGCGCCTGGCCCGGATCCGCAGAGGCTGGGAGAGCGCACGGCACCGTGCACGGCACCAGGGAGCCTGCCTGGATGTGTGAGCCTGAGGTAGCCCACTATGTGCCTTTCTGGAGGACCACCTCAAAAACCTATCGTAGGAAGACTATTTTGGTGTTTACTTCTGGTGAACTCAGGCTCAGATGAGTTCAGTGTTGCTTTAAACTGTAGGGAATCTGAGAAAAGAGGGAATCTGGGCAGATTTTGGGGGGAGATAGCAGAGATACTCCAGGGAAAAAGTAAGGACTCAACATGTCTCAGCCAAGTTCAAACTGCAGTGGGCTTTCTTTTATGTCCCTACAAATATTGAGGGACAGGTGGCTAAATCCTTAATTTGATGGATTATTGTGCATCTAAAGGTCAACAAGGGAAACTCCAACCTGCCAGAACAGAGCTTCCAGGTGGGTTTCACATCTGTCTGTTCTTTTTTTACCTGTTTTCTTATATAACCACATAGTCAGATGTGACCAATCAGCCAATGGTGGTAAGATGATGTCACCATGTCCAAAATCAAATGTTATTTATCCTGCTATCGGTTATTGGAACAACTGCCCACTGAATATACCTGAACTGAATAGTATATTTTCATTATTACATGAAAGTGAATTATTTGAATTTGGGAGTAGTGATTTAACTGTTTGGAAGTGAGAATTAATAGATATGGATGTAATACCTTATTTGAATGACTTCTGATGACATCTATAAGAATGTCTACAGAGTTTAATGAAGGGATTTTTCTTTTGTCTGGTGGACCCCAGGAAGACTAGCTGTACCCCCTCTTGGTGACAGCTAATGGGGATATTTTTTACCAGTAGACAGTGGGTCTGTGAGCTGAGCCTTAGAGGGGCCGGCTGCCCTGTGATGGAGCAGAAGGTCTTCATGTGGGAACATCAGACCAGCCGGAAACTGAGCTTGTGATGTGGACTTCTGCTTGTTTGAATATTGTTCAACTTTTGTTTTATCATTTTTTTGCCACAAAGAACACCAGACCAAAACAACACTCTCTAAAATACTGTGGTTATGTTAAACTCTATGTTGCCATGGTTACGGTACTAGTGTTCCTCGCTAGTGCTGGTTCGACTTTTCCCAATTTTTCGGACTGACTGGCCTCCATTTCTCAAAGTAATGATGGCCACTCGTTTTTCTTTACTCAGCTGCTTTTTTCTTGCCATAATACAAATTGGAACAGTCTATTCAGTAAGACTATCAGCTGTGGATCCACATGACTTCTGCACAACTGATGGTCCCGACCCCATTTATAAGGCCGGAAGTCCCACTTATGAACCCTGACAGGGGACACCTGTAAAGCTAAAACCATTTGAGGTGACTACCTCTGGAAAAACATTAAGAAAATGTGTGTGTGCAAAGCAGTAATCAGAGCAAAAGGTGGCTACTTCGAAGAACCTAGAATATAAAACATATTCTTAGTTTTTTTCACACTTTTTTGCTAAGTATATAATTCCACATGTGTTAATTCATAGTTTTGGTGCCTTCAGTGTGAATGTACAATTTTCATAGTCATGAAAATAAACAAAACTCTTTGAATGAGGTGTTTCCAAACTTTTGGTCTCCACTGTGTATATATATATATACTGTGTATATATATATATATATATGTGTGTGTGTGTGTGTGTGTGTATGGTTTAACCCACGTGTCCTGTTTCTGACGCCATCAACAGGCAGGACAAACTGTTTAGAATAGAGGACAGCAGAGGACCAGCCTTTATTTTTACAAATGTTTCAGAGCTATTCAGTGAGTGACCAGCCTTAAAAACAACTACAATCAGAACCAGAAATACTTTAATAATCCCAGAGGGAAATTATTTTCGTTACACGCTCAAGATACACAAAAATTGCACACGAGAAATATATTTATATATTTATATACAGAAAAAGTGGCAAATTATTTAAGTTTTATTTAAAAGTCACTGAAAAGGAAATTAAATCTGTGTTTCTTCTGGAAACAGACTCAGGAAGAGTCGGAATGATTGTTAATTTGAGCTAACCTCCAGAGCTCCTGTCAGACCTCGTGCAGTTCTGTCATGCCGCCACGTGGGGGTGCTGTTTACATCTGTGGTAAGTTCCATGGCCACCGGAAGTGGCGAGAGGGAAATCTTTTTTAAATTTCCTACGAATATTTTGGGAAATTATTTTGACTTTTTTATTTCACTATTACGTGTATTTGGATTTTCATTAAATTATTTTGAGCACAAGTTAACGGAAGTTGCGTTGTCAAGCTAGTGGTGGCCGAGTAGCAGACTAGTACATTTACAGTCTGATGACAGAAACCAGCAGGAAATATGGCTATGGGTTAAACCCCTAGACATATATAACGTACATATGTATATATGTATAACGAATATATGTCCATGGTTAAATCAGCCCCCGGGTTTCCCTGTTTAGGGACGGCGTTGTGCCATGTTCATACATCTGGTCCAGAGCTGTTGTCTTCTGAATTAATTAATTCCGGTTTTGCTTGTTGGTCACAGTAATCCTGAATCTTGGAATTAAAAATTAAAAAATTAAAATAAATAAATAAACCAGCCCCCGGGGGGAGCTTCCTGCTCTGTGAGCCGCTCTGGGATCGATTGGTCTGCTCTGGAGCCCACGGAGCTTCCCTATTGGCTGGCTCTGCCGCGGCTTCCTGCTTCCAAACGCGCGTGAGGCTGCGGAACATGACGGCCCAGGTGGTGGTCACGGTCCGGCTGGTCCGGTCCTTCCAGCACCGGAACTTCAGGCCGGTGGTTCTGCGCGGAGTCCAGCTGGACCAGAAAGTCCAGGACTTCATGCGCCTGGTCCGGGACGGTGAGGGGGGCCGAGGGGAGGGGTGTGTGTCTGTGTTTATTTGTGTATCTGTGTGTGTGTGTATTAGTGTGTGTGTGTGTCTGTCTGTGTCTATCTGCGTTTGTGTGTGTCTATCTATTTGTGTGTGTGTGTTTTTGTGTGTGTGTGTGTGTGTGTGTGTGTGTCTGTCTGTGTCTATCTGTGTTTGTGTGTGTCTATCTATTTGTGTGTGTGTGTGTTTGTGTGTGTGTGTTGTAGTGGCCTCTGAACTGCTCGTCTCTTCCAGACATAGCTGCCAGGGCGGACCTCCCTCCCCCGTTCAGGAGCGTTGCTTATGGTGTGTATGGTTCCAGTCTCCGGCATGCCCCCTAAATCCAGCTGGACTGGGACTCCTCTAAAGTCCAGACCCATCTGACTGTCTCTGTGTGCTTCCAGACACAATGAAGATCATCCACCAGGCCCACGGAGCAAAGGTACCAGCTGAGGGGGCTCTGGGTCCGGGTCTGGGTCTGACTCCAGGTCTGGGTCCAGGTCTGAAGGTGTCCTGTGTCTCCTTAGACTAACGAGCTGGTGATGAGTTTAGAAGATGACGAGGAGCTCATCCTTCAGGCTGACCTGACCCTCAGAGAGGCCGGCATCGGTGGGTCCGGCTCCCCAGGAGCTGTTCCTGTTCAAGGTTCTGTTTCTGTTTAGAGGCTTTAGCCAAAGCAGAGCCAGAGGTCCTGCTCTCATCAATATGACGAGAAGTTCTCTGGAGGAAAACCCCCAGTCAGAGTCAGTGGAGACAGGAGGAGATAGAGGGAAGCCCAGAAAGAGGAGTAGAGGGTCCAGAGGTCTGGAGGAGTTAGGATAGAAGCTGTAACCGGGGGCAACCAGGGCTAACCAGGGCCAGCCACGGGTAACCAAGGGAAACCAGAGGTAACTGGGGATAACCAGGGGTAACCAGTGCTAACCGGGGGTAAACAGGGGGTAGCCAGGGGTAATCAGACCCCGTTCGGGTAAATGGGGCCTCCATTGATCCATTTGGGTGTGAGTGTGAGCAGAGAGCTCCGAGGTTTACATGCTGTGTTTTCCTTCTCAGCTAATGAAACCGAGGTGGCCTTCTTCAGGAGGGAGGATTATGATCTGTACAAAGCTGACCCCCAAATGGCCTGGTGAGCCCAGAGGGCCGGCTGGAGCAAAGCCTGGTGCCTGGAGGCCTCCCTAGACCACATGGAGGCCTCCCCAGACCTGGGCCAGTACTTGGGCCCGGAGGCCTCCCCAGACCACATGGAGGCACATCAGTCAGCAGCATGGGGGAGTGTTGGACCTGGTTCTGCTGCTGAGTCTTTGGTTGTTGTTGTTGCTTTAAAATAAAGGTTTTGTGTGGAAGCCTGGTCTGTTCCGCCCTTCTTTTGTTGGACTTCTTAGGATGGAGCAGAGAGACATTCTGACGGGTCCTTTATTCAGGTCACAGGTAAAGAAGTCAGGCACCAGGGGCTCAGAGCCCCAGAGCCAGGTCTGGTTCAGAGGCCAGGTCTGGGTCCAGGTCCAGGTCTGGTTCAGAGGCCAGGTCTGGGTCCAGGTCTTGGCCTGGTTCAAAGGCCAGATCTGGGTCCAGGTCCTGGCCTGGTTCAGAGGCCAGGTCTGGGTCCAGGTCCAGGCCTTCCCCGTCCAGAGGCCAGGTCTGGGTCCAGGTCCAGGCCTGCCCCGTC